ATTGCATTTGAAAATATTATGACATATTTTTTTATATACAAACATATGACACGCATGTTGAGAATAAACTTGTTCAAAATTTCAAAACCATACAAAACATTTAAAATTTGGGAAACTTTTTCAATCCACAAAAAAAATACTTTTCGATTCTCAGAAAATATTTTTGATTCTCAATCTCAAAAAAAAGGTATAGTAAAGAAATTGAGGGTGTTTTTTTTTTTACTTTGGAGGTTAAAATACTTTGCCCTTTTGGGCAACTAAAAAATACGGAAAAGAGCCCACGTTTATGGAAACAATTTTAAACAGCAACTTTTGAAAAGGTTGGCAAAAAATCGGGTAGTTTTAATAAAAAACATTTAAACACGTTTTTCTCATATTACGATTTAAATCAGGCCCAAAAATGGTATCTTTTTTGCTTATAATTTTTTTTGAAAGATAAATTTGTTTTCCTTGTTTTGTGTATTGCAGCCATTGTTACATTCATGCTTTTGAAAAAAAAAATTATTTGACAAGAACCTAAACTCTTCAAAGCCACAGTTGTAGATTGAAGGTATGATTTTTTTTTTCCTTTTTGTTAAAAAAACTTAAACAAATTGATGCATATTTCAAATGTTGTTATAGAAATTATTGTGTAAATGAAATACTGGTTATAGCAAATCATTTAGTAAAAAAAATCATTGGGTAAAGAAAATCATACATATGCAGATTTCTGTGATTATTTTTTATAAATGTTTTTATTTAAATATTGTTTATGGCACAAATTAGAGCTCAAATCATAGTCTTTTAATGATGAATGAAAAGCAGAGAGAGTGACTACAGGACCAAGTAATTAATATTTTGTTTTTTATTATCCTTCAGCTCTGCTTGTGTTTTCCCCAAGAAAATGAAAAACCCTATTCCTTTTATCTCTAAAAAAATCAATTAAGGCCTCATCACAAATCAGTAGTTAGGGTTTTCTCTCAAACAACGTCCCAAATCAAAGAGAAAAACCCTCTTCAAACCATCCCAAATCAGCATCTCATCTTCCTTTTCTCTCTCTAAAAATCAATTAGTGCCTCTTTCGAGGGTTTGTGAAGCCGATAATCTCCTCCTCTCTCTAAACCCCAATGGCTATGAGCCCAACCCTATTTTCTTTCTCTTCTTTCTTCCTTCTCTCTTTAAAATGTGAACACTTTTCAATTAAAAAAAGAGTAATGATCCTATAGGACCCTCCTCCACCTATGTGTGTAGGATCTCAATGGATCACAATTAAAGTTGGCACGGATCTCTAAAAAAATTATGACATAAGTGTAGAACTTAACTTTTCTATAGATCCGTACCAAATTTAATAATGATCCTTTGGGGTCCTGCACACATGAGTGGGTGAAAGTCCCATAGGATAATTTCTCTTAAAGAAATTTATAAAACTTTAACCATAATTATGGTGTGACCATAGTCACCATACCATAGTTAAATCACGGTAATGAAAAAACAAAAATCATTTATTTTTTTCTTTTTTTTGGAAAAAGCTGAGATTAGCCTACTAGCTCATATGAACGCCCAACAATTGATATTGAATCTGGGCCAATCTAACGATCACGAAAGTCTGGTGGTGTTTAAATTTTATTTACTTTTTTACAAATCCAAATTACTTGAAATTTTAAAAGTGTGTTTATCAAAAATAGGTGAATCTTGAAAAATATCAAAAAAATATTTTACATGAAATAAATTGATCAAAATACCCCCAAAAAGTTTCGAGGGTATTTTGATTATTTTATTTTCATGAAAAAAAAATTTTATATTTTTGTTAGGTAAGCCTTGATGAGAAAAACACGTACCTAAAATTTAAAATGATTTGAATTTGTAGAAAAATAAATAAAATTAATCCCAATTATTTTTCTTTATCAAAAGTTCCCTTTTCTCTCCATAATAGCTCTGCATTCATACCTTACCCTTGCTTAACCTTTTCTCTCTTTAGCTCTCACTGCAAATGAAGAAAAAATTTGAGAGAGAACGGGGGATGGGATAGATATAGAGGTTGGACCAGGTGAGGGTATAGACATAAGAGAGGATGGAAGGAAACGGAGCGAGGAGAAAGAAAGGGAAAGAAAATTTTCATCTATACCATTTTGAAAAAAAATTTCATTCAAAGTAATAAATCAGATTATACAGAAACTTTCAAATAAACAGAAAAAATCCAACCCACACTAAGAAAAGAAAAACTTTATGGAGAGACAATAGCAAGAGATGAAAGTTCCATACCGTAAATTGCAATTCCGTGGCTCCCATTTCAAGCCACAAAAGCCACAAAAAAAAAACTTTAGAATCAGTAAACTAGAATCACCAATATATAAATATATGAATCAAGGTTGCAAATTTTTTACATGCACTAAAGTCAATAATGCGAAACCAGTTTCCTTAAAATAAACTGGACCATTCATTTCAATGAGTGGTCCGTCAGAGCTGGAGTTATTTTTTCTTTTTCTGAAATCCAAATCAAATCAAATTTCAAAACTTGGAACGGTCTTGGGTTCCTAAGGATGTCATTCTACTCATTAAAACTGTAATATGATCATTCCACTCGTTGAAAACTACGAGCTGTACTTTTACTCATCAAATGAAAAATATAAATTTTCTCAATAATTTGAAATTCAAAAAAGGAAAAGAAATATATGCATGAGCTATGCTGTTACCCAATAAATGAAAACTATAAAACTTTTCTCAATTTAAAACTCAAACAAGGAAAATAAATTTAGTTAAACAAGGAAAATAAATTTAGTTAAACAAGGAAAATAAATATAGTTAAATCACAACCACTCTTGAGACTCATCAAATCTCAAATCGACCTTTTAAAGAAAATATCCTCCCAAAAAGGTCGTAAATGCAAAATTCATAGAAAACACGTGTTTTTGAGGATAGAAAACACGTGTTTTTGAGGATCGAAGAAATGTAGCCAGTAAAAACATGGCCGAGACAAGATGAAGAAACTGTGACAGAATATTAAGAAAATCAAAACAAATGAAAAGCAAAGAGCATAGCAAAATCTAATATACTAAAAAAAAAAAAGGAGCAGACTTTCTGCTCATTTAAGGCAAACACATATCCCAGATACAGTTAAGTAAAAAGGTAAAAACATAACAGGATCTTAAAACAACATAAAAATCATATCCTATAATACAAAAAGAGTAACTCCAAAACTGGCTGAGGCAAGATAAGAGAGAACTTGTATCCACTAAAAACAGTTTTGCACATGCGTGCACACACACACGCTCGTGCGCACGCACACAGAAAGGAAAGAAAAAAAAGGATCAGAGTTTGGATGAGGCAATAGGCAAGATGACGGATAAACATCATATTCATATGCAGTAAAAAACATGATAATAATTTCACTCACTGGTGCTTAGGCAATTGTCATAGGAAAACTACAGAAACTTTTTGTTTTGGGTTCAATAAATTGGGTTTAAGAAATGAAGGGAAAGTAATGAATAAAATAAAAAGAAATAAAAACTATGTTTTGAGCTACTTTCAGTTTGAGAAAGATTGTTAAACAATCTTAGCGAATTGTGAGGTATTAAACAATCCTACCATCATATTCCAAAAAAGAAAAGTAGCGAAAACTTACAGGGGAGGGGATTTTCAGAGAAATCAAAGATGTTTCCAAAAAGACAAGCAACCCAAGTATCCCATTCATTATATAGCAATACCCTCATCCTAAGCAACAACTCGCCAAAAATGCAACATCTTCATCACTTCTTCAACCCAAGGAACAAACACTCTCAGAAGATTGCCAAAAACTGCTTAGCCAAAAATAAACCAGGCCATAAAATCTAACTCCCATCAATGCTCAAGGTGGAAAACATATTCTGTCAAGTTCTGCAATTTGCTAGGATCAAGTTTCTGTTGGACAACTTTCGGCATCTTTCTAACCGTGAGCATCTTCGATTCTGGATCAATGGTCCAACCATGCTGCAGTGCATCTGTGTATGACAAGAGAAGGAAACCCTTTCAACCAACTAGTTCAAAAAGTTAACAAGAACTAATCAGGGTAACAATTCCAAGAGACAAAAGAGAATTGAAACTCACAGTTTGTGACACCTTCCTCACTGAGTCCAAGAAATTTAGTAACATCAGCCACAGTTATTGTAGAATATGCAGATGAGAGTAAATCGAACATTCTCTTAGTATAACTCTCTGCACAATCGAAAATTTGAGGAATCAAGAACCCAGAACCCAAATAAATCACAAATTCAGAACAATTATATATGAAATAGATGAGGGTCAGATGATCTATGAAGTGGAACTCAACATTCTCAACTATTGATTCTTCTCAATAGTACTAAGCAAAAATGGAATCTTAGTAATGTTTTAACATAAGCCACAAACCCAAGAGGGGAGATTAACCATATATAATAAGCTAGAATGAACACTGAATCAACAGTGCGAATGGCCAGGTGGCTAGGTTTGAAATTCCTCATAGGGATGAACTTCTAGTGTTCAAGGAGTTAATGACAAATTGTACTAATATTTTCTCATATCTCATTTACAGGTCAGAACAATTACTTATTGAATACCACATTTGCGCTGAGGGAAATAAGAAGCTTAAAGGCCAAAAGGCGCAGCAGTGGCCAAGACCCCAAGGTTCAGAATATTGCACAAATTCTTATTTTTGATGTCTTTGTTTGTACATACAGTTAAACTCGACCTGGGAATTGGGACCCAATCACTGGTGAAACCAAGTAGTTTCTTCTTTCTTTTTCCTTTTCTAGAAATTCTAAAAAGAAAAATACAATCATAAGCGGACAGACATGATAGAATCATTTATTAATTCTTACCACCAGCAATCAAGCACCAAAACACACAAAAATCTTTAGAAGGACCCCAGTGAATTTCTGAAGGTCATCATCCTTCAATGTATCAGTGAGTAAGTATGTCAGTTGATAAAATGGTATGAAATTCTTAAAAGCATGTGGAGCCTTGACAAGTCCTTGAAATCAAAACTAAATCATTGATCCAAGCATACTAAATGTTAATCTGAAAATTAAAACTAAAAAAAATTAGATCCTCATCCACAGCGATGTTGGGCGGATATAACTAGCTCAAAAACATGAGTATGAGGCTTTATTACCTTAATTGACAAAGAGATGGGTAAAATCAATACTGTATATGTTATATGAGCTTACCTCATATTATATGTGCATATCACATGGTCTACAGCCAAAATACCACTATAAAGGCTGGCTTATTCACTTAATTCTAAGATTGATTGATCAGAACATTTCAAGTTCATTTTAGCATTTAATTTCTGAGACATTATGAATTGACTATCCAATTGTCAACAACTAAAGCTCCCTAATAAATCCTGATATGGAAATTCCTTCTCAAGATAACTGAATGAGACTGCCTACGCATTCACTATCCTAAAATCACTCTTAAAATTTAACCACACAGGGATTCAATATTTACACAGTTAACAATGCATATAACAATGGGGCAAAATTCAGCTAACATCAGTCCAAGGATCTCTAATGAATATATGCAAATGGAACCTATTGAAATTTTGTTGCCATTATTTATACATGGGAACCTGAACTTGAACGATCGAAGTATTACTGTTTCCTAGGAGCACAACAATTTTGTCAATGGTAACAAGAATATACAAGCATGAAAGAGGAGCAAAAGCTACAAAATGACAAGACATCGTCAAAAAGAGACACTACAAAACGAAACTGTAGTTGAGAGTGCCCCATTTGTCACACCCCTCTTTCCTATCCCCTGCATGACATCATTCCCCTTGGGAAAGGTGTGCGTAAAAGACAAACCCTCCTCCACACAACTCCCAAATGTCTTCTCTAAATGTATCCTACCCATGAGGGATTGGAGTGTCCTTCCTCAACCATCTAATCAGATTGATGGTGAGGCTATCACCCTCAACTTCCAAAAGAAAACAAGAGCTTACAGAAACAATCCAGATTCCTGTCAGTTAAGATCTTGCCTCAGCTTAATCATGAAAGACACACACATGGACACAAGCACCACATGAGCACGCACACACAGATATAAGATTGCAACACTTTCACCTACGGGTGCCTTTGAACATATTCTCCCATCAAACTTGAGCTAGAAACACCCAAAATGGGTCTCTACCTCAATGTTCTCGGCATAGACAATATTGCATAAGCTACTAAACTCGGGTAAAGTTAATACCTGGGATCTGACTATCCTTCAAGCACTCTCCCCAAACACCTCACGAAAATGTTCCCCCCTAGAAGCACCCTATTGTTTCTCTCTTTCTGAATGCCCCGACAGATGCCCAGAGAGGATAGCTTCCACCACAATCGGCCCTCATCAAGGAAAAACCTACCTCCATTATGCCATCAATCTAGCAATCAACTATGGAGCCAATCATGTGAATTTGAAGAGCCTAAACTTGAAATATGATGTAATTGGGGTTTGATATTATAATTATTATTTTTTAAGTGGTTAGAGTTTATTTCTTAAGAAACAATACAGCTGGTACGGTATTAAGTTTCATAGCGATTTTAAGGGTATTTAGGTTATTTAGTATTGAACATATTTCGAGGACAATTGTGCCTTTTTATTGTAGATATTTTTAGGGTTTTCATTTGTTTATATATATATGATCGTAAAGGGAAACAGAAAGGGAAGAAGAATTGATTTTTAGCTCTTGTGAAAAGATTTTTTTAGGATGGACTCCCTTCCAGACCTAGAGAGAGGATATATTCTTTCACCTATTTTTTTTCTTGATTAGTTTACATTCTTTCTACCCTTTTCCTACATTAGAACCAGCATGACAACCCTCAAAAACATCTATTGATCCATTTTTGGAGCACACAGATCCAAATATCTGAGAGAGTCTAAAAAGGCCTAGAATAAAGCCTTCACAAATTTATGCAACAAGGGTCCAAGAATATGAGGAGGAAGATAAAAAATCGACATCTAATCCAAGCATTGATCGAACACCACAGCATGTTTCAGAAGTTGAACTGGGTATAAGGCATGAAATGCAAGTGATGGAGATTGCAAGAGATTTGGCACCACAAGCAACCTCCTAGGACTATATGGCTTTCTTGGAACACAACTTTGTTTGATTAAGTTCAACAATCAAAAGTTTGATAAAAGAATAGTGAAGATTTCTAATCAGAAGTTAGAACAAAGTAGAGAAGACAATGAAGGAAAATTCTCGAATTCCTTAAGCTCGGGGAGAAGCTTCTCCCAACTCCCAAGCATAGAAAAACAAGATACTCAGGGTTTGCTTTTATTATTTCTTTTTATTTGGATAAGGTTTATTTCCTAGGAAATAATAGGGTTATTTTGGTCTTTAATTTTGTAGAGATTTCAAGGTTAATTAGTTAATTTAGTATTGTAGACAATCTAAGGGCAATTGCATATTTTTTATTGCAGAGATTTTTATGGTTTTAGGGTTTTCTTTTGTTTATATAGATCTATCATGAATAAAAATAAAGATAGAGCTATTAATTTTTAGGTCTTGTCAAACAATAAGGTGGACTCCCTTACAGACCCAAAGAGAGGATATATTCTCTCGCCTTTTTATGTTTTTATTTTTCTAGTTTAGTTACTTTCTCTCCTTTTTCCTACGTCAAAACACCATAAATATGTGCGCTACAGGAGAGTGGACAAGTAAATGGTCTATAATATCCTTATCACAAATATTTGAAATCTGTAGACCCCAATGCTTTTAAGTGATCAATCGTGAGGGCCTTAACCAAGCAAGCTAACCAACTAAACGCCTGAATACCCTGAGGGGCTGACACCCTCAACAAAATATTTGGGTGATAGAGCCTGATTCATCTAGTTAGTTTTCATATCGAATGTCTAGTTATCGCATTTGACCACAAGGTGCAAAAGCCACAATATGGAAAGATACATCAATAATTGCATAAAAAAATTCAAATGTACTCATATCTGAAGTACAGTATGAAATGAAGAATCAAGGAAGATATGATGTTTCCAAAAAGAACGCAATGGCTGGGCACAATTTAAAAGAATCATATAAAGTAACTGACTGGAGCTATTACCAACATGTAGTACTCATACTCTTTATTGATATGGGCAACATGTAATACTGGCAAGTTGGCTAAGCAATTTGGATATGAAAACATATTATGAATTTTAAAGCCTAAAAACATTATCAAAAAAAAAAAATTTAAAGCCTAAAAATCTGCAGAGAGAGAAACAACCCAAGAGAATGTAAAAGATAATCTTGATCCATTTTTATGAAGAAGATAAAAACATGGTTCAAAAAAGTTTGTCATCAGATCACAAATATCAGAGAAAATATAGGCTCCGGCTATGCCCATCATGATAGGTGAAGGTTACAATGTAATCAAAACCAGGAGTCCAATGGAATATTGTCATCTACTTGAAATATATCCGCCAATATATCATGGTGTGAGAGTTTCAAAGTTTCAAAAATAAAAGAATAAAAAACAGTTTTTTATCCAATATTAATCCCAACATATTTTTATTTATTTTTTAAATATCACCCATTGTATCATCTACAAGTCAGTTATTTTAATTCTAATAAATTGAATATGTAAAATATATCCTTTTTTTGAAATCTTAATATGTAAAATATATCATTCCTGCTATATCCGTTAATTTTAAAATAACACCCAATGTATGATATTCTTTAAAAAATAATTAGTTTTATTTTCCTATTCATATTTGATGTATCGGCTGATAGTGTTGTATATCAGTACCAACCTATACCCAATATGTGTATGTACACCAGATTCTCTAACCTTGGCAGCAGCTCATGTTGTCGCTCCACTAGAATTGTTTAATATATCACTCTGCTAGATTTTATACAATTAGAATCAGTGCACGTAATCACTTGCCTGAAAATGCACTGACAAGATCCTTAACTTCTGCACTCCAATCAAATCCACGAATTGCATCGTGTACACCAGCATAGTCATGCGTCCATAAGCACTGGCCTATCTTCCACACTGCAACAACCTCAGGCTGGCTTTCTTTGATTGCTGATGGAGTCCGTTTCCAAATAAATCTTGCATTGTTACTGCAAAGGCATATGTACAAAAAATTAGATAAAGAAAAAGAGCAAAATGAAACAAAACAGAACCAAAGAATTGGGAATGCACCATAAAACACATCTGAGGTTCTAAATATACAAATTACATATTTATCTTGCAATTCACATTTGAATGGACGACCCAGATCCAATTGTTGCACACTTGTATCTAGAATTGGGACCCATTTGGCCATAAACTAAGTAAAACATAGGCATGCATATCTAGATATATTTTTATTATAGCTAGACACCTCAATGTGTTAGTAGAAACACTTGCACATGTGCTGTGCATATTGTGCACATTATTAGAAACACTTGCACATGTGCTACGCATGTTGCACATCCAAAGGATCAGACCTCTGGATAGCCCTAAGCAAGGTATTCAAACTTCCACAGTCGTACAACTCATGCTTGCCCCATCCATCAACAAACCAAACTTGCAGGCTCGTGTTCCAGTGCATTCCACAATAAGTACCCTTTAAATGCATCTCAATAGGCAGTTCGAAGACAAGTGCACATGGTTCTATTGGAAATGATTCCCTGAGCATTATAATCTCAAAAACAAATTCCTTTACAAATGAAAAGTAAACCACCCAGAACTTGGTTATTTGTGATATGATGTGGGGAAAAGGCGATGGATGTGGACAGGGCATGTGAATTGTGAAGATAATAAAACACTAAAACTTCCATATATGACATTGAACATAGAACAACCACCATCTTCAAAGGTTCGACAACAGACTTTTTCTCCAGCAAATCCAAAAGGCGTATTTTGAAAGAGAAGCAGGTTCACAATGATATATAACTAGTTTGACTTGAAGGTAGAATCTAACTCCAGTAGTGCTCTGTTAATCACCGAATAAAGAATACTGCATTTAAAAGAGCAAGAAAGCACAACAATGGCTTGGTTGGTTATGGAGACTGGAGAAAATTGGATCTGCGTAGAAGTATGTTAAACTTTGGCAGGTCTGCCTCCCTCTCCATCACCTTTCAACCCAATCACTGGGTGGGTAGTGGTCCTCATGATCACAGATTTTATGGTCAAGAGGATTATGATATGCTTTTCCTTAATAGAACACAAGGATTCAGATCCAGTATTTCCAAAGCATTTACAACAAGCCTACCTTGGATTCTTTGGCCACAGGAGACTAGTCCAACGTAATACAGGATCTACTTTTGTTCAACAACAATTACTAGGATAAGGATTTTATCTTCAGGAAATGACAGTATGTTCACCCTGGTGCACCAAACGTAGTGCTCTACCAACCTCAACAACCAAATTTGAGGTGTTTCCAAATTTTCACACACTCTTTTGGGAAATATTTTAATATTTTTTTGGGTCCCTACCACACCTCAAAATGGTTTTTGAGGTGAGTGGAGCACCAAGATTGGTGCCCCAAGCAGAATACATTATCATTTCCCTTTACCTGTTTTGTTCTCATGCAGGTCTAGCATGGATTTACCATTTCGGCTTCAACAATTCTGCACATGGTTATTTATAGAGGCAGAAAAGGGTCTTTAAGGCCGTGAAATTCAAACATGCATGTATGAAAATCACGTAGATAGTGTAACGGTTATCAGATAATAAGGATAGTATCTATTCCAAGTATCTCATTTTCAACTAGGTAAAGTTCCATGGAAGACAACTTTCTCCTAGTACCTCAAATTCAACTATATATCGTAGCATATCTTTACCATTGATGGGGTTATAGTAGTATTATGGATGGTGCCAAAAGAATCAAGACTAGTATTGCTTTATCAACTGTGGAAAAAACATGGGATTGTATACTATGAACCATTTATTTTTGGTATAAGGAGGTCACAATCACTTTTGGTAATTGGATGTAAAATCCAATAGATGAAAGTGCGTCACAACATTCAAGAAATTCTAATTTGGACTTTGCGCCCAAACAATGACATCCTCAACCACCTGATTTCAAATCTAACCACCAATGATAATTGTGACCTCCTTGTATCATAAGTAAATGGTCTGATTGTATACATTTCCAAAAAACATTGCATGTAGTTAGAAAGCATAATCGGTGACTCCATTGGCTTGTTTGGCAACAAGCACATTTGATGACGTAAACTAGACTCGTGATGTGATAAATAACAATGACAAAACAATTAAAAGTATTGCCTCAAGTAACATGATTGTGGACCTATGAACTACAGGTTTCAGCAAATAAATGTTTGACAAACACAGTTGTAGCAATGCTCAGGTAAAAATTGCATGAGAGACTCTCGAAAAGAGCGAGAGACCTAGGCCTTAAAGTCCCTTTTCCCTCTCAATAACTATCTCTATGAACAATATGAACAACATAAATGGTAAATAAGCAATGCAGGACACGACTGAGAGGACTGAGCTAAACTTGAAATCCAATTAATTGGTAGTCAAAAAAAAGAAAATCCCTAAATGAATCAACGGATTGGAAAGGGTATATCAAAAAACAAGAATTCTCTGGAAACGTCAGCAATGTGGCTGCTCATCATTGACCATTTTAGCCATATAACCCAAGATCAATTCCCAGAGAATAACTGGTTTGAAATCCATTATTCCGTTACAAGTATGGAAGAGATAGATGTGGGGCAAAAAACTATAAATAAAGGAAGCTAGATTTCCACATCCATTTACTCCACAAAATACAGTTCACTGTTTGCGGATTTTCTAGATAGTAAAGAAGCAGAGCTACACTTGAAAATTATCTAGTCATCAAAAGAATGTTATCCACCATGTCAAATATAAGCCATACATGTCAATTAAGTTAGGATAATTGGAGAAAAACAAGAAAAATTTGCACTCTCTTCCTCAGGACACAGCAAATTACAAACAATAGAAGCAATGAGTTGGATATGAAATCAAAAAGTAAACTTACATGTCTTGTACATAAATATGCCCTAGAAGATGGATTGCATATGGCCATTCATTCTGATAATTAACTCCTCGAGCGGCAAACTATGCCAGGAAACAGGAAAAGCAATAAAGAAAAACACAGATAAACCCTAATACAGAAGAAAGAGAGGAGAGAGAGGTGAGAAGATAAAAAAGGAAACTCCAGTTCAGAAGAGAGGAGAGAGTTTGATGAACCTGGAGCTCGAGTTCATCACAGATATCTGCAACTTGATCATATGATTTGGAGGCAATGGCCTCCTTGAGGAGAGTCAAGTCCATTCTTACTCTGTTGCTAAATGGAGGAATCAAGTAGCAATTAGGGTAAACAAAATTTCAAACTACTACATTATGCAGCCTTTCTATTCAATATTGTGTGATCATATCTTACGATTATATGTCCTTTTAACACCAAGGACAAAATTAGAGAGATGGGGTTGAAATAGAAGCCCATAATTTTAAATGGGGAGTAGGAACGAGAGAGTATGAGGCAAAGGAAAGAGAGAGAGAGAGAGAGAGAGAGAGAGAGAGAGAGAGAGAGTACGTACCACCACTACGTCACTACTACTAGTAGTACGTACGTAGAGTAGTAGTAAGTAGTAGTCGTCGTACGACTACGACGACGACGTACTAC